GAAGCAGGACTGGATCCCGAGGCCGAGGGGAAGAGGTCACACCGCTCCATTTTCCCGACGCAGCAAGCCAAGTCTTTCAACCCGGGTTTGCCGTTGAGCATCAGGCACTCGGAGGTGAGACGCTCGGCGCTCTCCAAGCGCGCAGCTGCCCCGGCTCCGCCCCGGGGCCTTGCCCGGTTTCGGGGTCGCTCCGGGAGGGAGCGCACGCACGTCCTGCCTCCGGGAGTCGGCGGCGCGCTGTTGTCACCTGTAGCCTGGAAGACTCTCTCCCTTCTTCCTCTTACCCAGGGTCTTGGCCCCAGACCTGATCCGGGGTTTCTCGTTCCCTTCTGTCCGCACCACCCTATACCCGAGTGCAGCGCGCCTCACTTCAGGGCCAGCGACCACCAGTCCCACCCGTGATCCCCAACCTGTTCACCTCGATCCTCCTCCCTCCGCATTAGTCTGCTTGGTGGGGCTGGGGCGAGCGAAGAAGGGGTGGTGAGAAAGGGGAGGTGCCTGGAGTCTTTCGGACCCGGAGAGGGAGCGAATGGAAAGGTCGGACTGAGGCACCCAAGCCCTCGGAACTCGGGATCCAGTGGGCTGGGATCCAGTGGGCTGGAACCCAGCCCCTGCCCTGACTTTTGGTCTTCAGTATCTTCATCTGTAAAATGGGAACCACGCGCCTCCTCCTCGACACGGAAGGGCTGTTGCACAATTTGGATGAGATAACCAGGAGATGAGATCTTAAAGTCAGTTCCCAATCGCCCTTCAGTTCTCTTCCAACTTTGTTTCATGGTGAACTTGCAGGGCTCAGGTTGACTTCAGTGGTCCTTTCTGGGCAGGTGGCGGCCTTGCTAGCTCAATGGGGGTGGGTAATTCAGAGGCAGAGCTGACCAGGGAGAAGGGGCTATTAGTTCTGGGGTTTCTTTGGGGACTTATTTGTCACTTTCCCCTTGGCTTTCCCAGCACAGCACCCCTTCTCCCAAGCCCTGGGCATTCCTTCCAGATTCTGCCCAGGCTGAGCCTCTGCTGACAGGTTGGGGCCCCTGCATTCTCAGCACCTCACACTCAACTTGAGAATCAACAGACGGTACAGAAGCTGCAAAGGGAGGATGTCATTCGAATCTCAACGTTCCTTGGGATCTTGCCGCAGACATACTCTTAGAGGTCGCAGTAGCTTCTAGAAACCTTCATTTTAGGAATGAGACTCTAAATCCGAAAACAGCCACCCCCAAGACGGTGTCTCAGTCTCTGATGACTACCATCACGCTGCCTCCCTGGACCTGCTCCTCCGCTCCCAGGACCTTGGACAAATGCCCACACCTCTCCCGAGAGTGTCAGTTTCCCAGTCTGCAAAATGGGTGTAAGTAAAGTAAGTAAATGACCTTCCTAGGGCCAGGCATAGATTAAATGAGATGAAGGCTGTCGAGATCTACTAAGTGTCAGGCAGGGCTTAATTCCCCTTAAGGAGGCTTTTAGATGGAAGTCACTATCCTTGTCATTCTAAAGGCTCCCATATTCCGGCAGTCCAGATTAGATCCCCTAGTTTACTGTGAACATGGAATATCACATGTATTTTGCCGGTCATGTTTCACACCAGCCCATGTGCACATCCGCATGCATGTGCATTCAGAAGTATTTACCAAGCACCCTCCACGTGTCAGGCCCTGTGCTCAGCGCTGGGTCCCAGAGCGGGATGGCCCTGGACCACTCTGGGAGCTGAGCCTTACAAGGAAGACAGACGCTGCTGGTTTGCTGAGTCGTCCCCCAGAAGTCTTATCGCTCTCGTTTGCGCGCCAAACGCTGCCATTCCGCATCCCTTCTGGTTTCCGGACCTGGAAGAATGGCTGAAGTGCTTTTTTCTTTCCTTTCCGGTGCCCGCAGCCTCGCCTCCCAGCGCCAGCCCTGGCTCGCCCTGAGCATGGACGCGGCTCTCCTTGGCAGTCCGGCCTAGCCGCTGCCTGAATGTGTGCAGGAACTCGGGGAAGAGAAAGGCGAGAACGCTAAAGAGTGGTCCGGGAGGAACCCGGGAAGCAGTGGGAGGTCTGAGCCCTCGGAGCCCCGCGCTAGCCCGCCCCGGCCGATTTGGCACAAGTTCCTCCCGAGGCCGCCAGGCGACCGAGCAAAGGCCGGCCCCGACGCGCACCCGGTCTTTTGTGGGAGGGAAATACAAAGGAGAGGGAAAAACACGTCTTCCGTTTTGACGGAGGAGGCTGACAGCTTCAGGACGCCTGGGACAGCCAGGAACTCGCGGAGCCGGGCCGATTAGCCTCGGCAAGTGAGCATTCAATTTCGCGGGAAGGGGCTGCGGCGTTGCCCGGACCCACCCGGGATGTGCCCACCAGGCGCCGGGCTCAAAACCTGAGCAAATGCCAGGACGCCTCCAGGACGCACGAGGGCATGCGCCGGCGGCCGGGATCTTGTCTCTGACTATTCCTGGAGCGGGTAGGAGGACTCGGAGACCCAGAGAGATGAGTCCTGCGACCCAGTAGCCCAGGGGGGCACAGGTTGCCCCTACCTCCCGAGCAACTTCCTGGCAACCACAGAATGTTGGGGGGTGCTGACGAGAGACGGGGTCTACAGCCTAGAGCTGCCAGCCTGAGCTCCGGGCATGGGGAGTAAGGACCGCGAGGTGCCGCTGCACAGCCCAGAACAGCCACCCCTGCTCTAGTTCCGGCACGGGGCTAGGGCCTGCAGCGTCCATATGCGCTTTCACGACGCGTAAGGCTGACCTCTTGCCTCTGGATTCTGCCCTCCCGGGCTCTAAACACACATGGTGCCATAAGAGCCCCTCAACCTTCCTCCCGGCTTCCAGCTCCAGCTACTGGAGCAAGAGCGTGAAGAACCCCAGATCGCGCACTCTCGCGGACCGCAGGACGCAGGACGCAGGACAGTTGCTGGTCGCAAGCAACAAAAGAAGGAACCAGGGCTCCAGGACACGAGGCACCCTGTGGATTAACCTCAGCGTCTGCAACCCAGGCGCGCGCACGGTGCGCCTGCCGCCCTGTGTTAGATACACAGGCGTACGCACAAGTCCACACCTCGGCTGGTGGCCCAGAGCTCACATTCCCACGAATGCCCTCACTGACGGTGGTCGGAGAGGACTGAGGGAACCATCTTTTAATACCCGAGCTATCTCTGCTTCCCCCCCATCCCGTTCCCGGAGTTCGACCATAAAACAGATTGTCCTAATTAAGCGGTTTTGCGTCTTCTTGCATAACCGTTGCACGACGTATCTCCAGGCTTCAGTTCTTCATGTTTTAAGTACATATTTAACGGATGGCTGCAGAGCCAACTGGGAAACACACAGGCTGAAAAATAATGCTCCAGAAAGCACGAGATGGGGGCGAAGGCAAGCGCGCACTAGGTTTTCTATCTTTGTTTTACCCAGACACCGGGAGCAACACCATAAGCTTATTTTTGCATTTGTTTATTTTGTGCTTTCCCAATTTGAGGGCCAATTACTTTGTTTTTAAAGCTATATATGCAAAGTGGAAGTTCTGGAACAACCACTAAACAGAGGAGGGAGGTTTGGGGTGTGTCTGTGTATGTGCCTGTGCGGTATATAGGGCTAGGGTCTGGAATCTGCAGAACCCAACTTCTGTACCAGAAAGGTACGGATGTAAGGGATCCAGCTCAGGGAAGAGGTTAGAGACACCCATGGCATAGTAAGGAATGCCAGCATTTTCTGCGCTGCAAAAGATTAGCAGTTTTTTCTGTAGGCTTGATTCATAAGCAGACACAGTCTCTTGATTTTCCCATCCGTAAAATGGGTGGATGTGTTAGTATCACTGAACTACCTAACTTGGCCGCTTCTCTAAGACCAGTTTTACTCCTGATGGGCGGGAGTTTCTGGGTGCAGTGGCCAAGCTGTGATTGGTAAAACGTGTCTGAAAACTGCCATGAGTAGCTGATCTCACTGCCTGGCCCAAGGCCTGGAGAAGTCTTTACCCAGGCCTTAGACCTTCCACTCCCCCCCACCCCGCAACAAACTAGCGCTTCCCTCCTACCCCATGGCTTGGTGATGACCACAAGAATGATAGTGAAAATACCGTCATCGGTTCCAGAGCTAATAAATAGGGGGGCGGGGGGGGGGGATGCACTAAACTTTGAGCTCTAGACTCTGCCGTTCTGTTAGTGCGGTTATAGTGGGGGAAATATCTCGTCCCTGTGTCTCGACCATTCTCGACTCTATGAAGAGTTGTGATTTCTTTCAAAACACCGTCCCGGAGTAGGTCTCCTACTTCCTTCCCCGCCCTTTGCGTTGCAAGGTCCTGCCCCCAGCTGGGGGCGCCACCAGCCACCCGCGAAGGAGCGGCAACGGCCAGCTCCCGGAGGCGCGCTTAGCTTGAGAAGAAAGTAGGGGCTTTGTGCTTGGTTGTCCTTTACATCTGGGGTTCCAAATGCCCACGTATTGATGAAACCCTTGAGATAGGGACAGGCCGCGAGAACCCAGAGAGAGATGAGACGCAAAAGGAGACTCCAGCTCCAGCTCCCGGATCGCCAGGGTTCCTCGGACGCATCCCCCAAAAGATCGGATCGCGTTGGGTATCGGGTTAGTTCGTCTGCGGAACCCCCCGGCCCACCCCATCCCCCAGCCTGGCTCTGTGGTCACCGTATTTTTTTATAGAAATCTGACGACGCTCCGTCTCTGTCCCTCTATCTTAACCGCATTCTATTCTGCCCTCGGTACTTCCCCTGCAAGCCCGCCCTTCTCCTCCCCCTCGCCTCTCACACCCCTTCCGCGGGTTGGTCCTCCAGTCCCTCCCCAAGAATCTCCCGGCCGCCGACGCCCATTGGCTGTGCTCGGGGAGGAGGCGTGTGCGGGCCCGGCGAGTTTCATTGAGCGGAATTAGCCCGGATGACATCAGCTTCCCAGCCCCCCGGGCGGGCCCGCTCATTGGCGCGGCTGCCCCTCCAGGACCCGCACATTGTTCCCCGCCCCCGCCTCGGCCACCGCCGCCACGGTCGCCGCCGCCACCGGGCTATAAAAACGGGCCGAGCCCCGAAAGGTGCGGATGCTTATTATAGACCAACGCGACCTCAGCGCCCGGAGTCCGCTTCTCCGCTGCGACTTTGGGGAACGAACTCCTCTCATTGCATCCACAGTAAGTGTCCCCGCCCCCCAGCAGCCCCAGCCAATATCCTAGGGACAGACGCCCCTCAACTCGCCTGCGACCCAGGAAGCTCCGTTGGAGAGGGCCCGTTGGATCCGTTGGATCCCGCCCCTGCCCGCCAGTTCTCCCGAGTGGCTTCGCTGCTCTGACTCTCCCCACACTCATCGCAGCATCCCCTTCGCCCAAATGCGAGAAGTCGGGGCGACCACAGTTCCTTATGGCCAAGTCCCGGTCAGCGGGCAAGCTCCCCGCGGCCCCCCGGACGCCCCCCTGCCCGCGGCCCCCCGGACGCCCCCCATGTTATCAAGGCTCGCGGGCGCTGTGTGCCTGTGTATGTTTGTTGCGCGGTGTCGATGGAGATAAAGTCCATGCGTTTGAGAAACCAAATAAATACTTTCTCCATTTAGATCTCCACCATCCCAAAGAAAAAATATCCTCGCTTGCCATTTCAGCCCTGGGGATTCAGCCTCCCTGTTCCTAATTGAAGGCATAAAGCCTCCAGAATGCCCCCCTCACTGAGGGGCATCCAGTGCTCCCTGGAATAAAACAACCTGTGGATGAGAGCAGAGGATGGGGTGGCAGGGAGAGGGGATTACTTCGCGCGCACCTGTGTGCCGCTGGAAGCAAGGCCAGACACCGCGATGTGGACACGGAGCGATCGGTCACCTGCGCCCGGACCGCGCTCTGCGGTGCAGGCGGGAGCAGCTTCTCGCTCTTTCTGAGTGCCTCACGCTCGGTTTCCATCTCTCTCTCTCTCTCTCTCTCTCTTTCCTGTTTCTTCTCCCCTTCGCAGGAGGCGTGCTTAAAGCTCCGAGGGCCGGGGAAGGGAGGGCGGACCCTGCGAAAGCTGCGACTACCTTTCAGGGCCATGGACTCGGACGCCAGCCTGGTGTCCAGTCGCCCGTCGTCGCCAGAGCCCGATGACCTTTTTCTGCCGGCCCGGAGCAAAGGCAGCGGAGGCAGCGGCTTCACGGGCGGCACAGTGTCCTCGTCCACGCCGAGCGACTGCCCGCCGGAGCTGAGCGCAGAGCTGCGCGGCGCCATGGGCGCGGCGGGCGCGCACCCCGGGGACAAGCTGGGCGGCGGCGGCTTCAAGTCATCCTCGTCCAGCACTTCGTCGTCCACTTCCTCAGCGGCCGCGTCGTCCACCAAGAAGGACAAGAAGCAGATGACAGAGCCCGAGCTGCAGCAGCTACGCCTCAAGATCAACAGCCGCGAGCGCAAGCGCATGCACGACCTCAACATCGCCATGGACGGGCTGCGCGAGGTCATGCCTTACGCGCACGGCCCGTCGGTGCGCAAGCTCTCCAAGATCGCCACGCTGTTGCTGGCGCGCAACTACATCCTCATGCTCACCAACTCGCTGGAGGAGATGAAGCGACTGGTGAGCGAGATCTACGGCGGCCACCACGCCGGCTTCCACCCGTCCGCCTGCGGTGGTCTGGCGCACTCTGCGCCCCTGCCCGCCGCCACTGCGCACCCCGCGGCCGCCGCGCACGCAGCACACCACCCCGCAGTTCACCACCCCATCCTGCCTCCCGCCGCGGCCGCCGCCGCCGCCGCCGCCGCCGCGGCCGCCGTGTCCAGTGCCTCCCTGCCTGGCTCCGGCCTGTCGTCGGTCGGCTCCATCCGGCCCCCGCACGGCCTGCTCAAGTCCCCGGCGGCGGCGGCGGCGGCCCCGCTGGGGGGCGGGGGCGGCGGCAGCGGGGGCAGCGGCGGCTTCCAGCACTGGGGCGGCATGCCCTGTCCCTGCAGCATGTGCCAGGTGCCGCCGCCGCATCACCACGTGTCGGCCATGGGCGCCGGCAGCCTGCCGCGCCTCACCTCCGACGCCAAGTGAGCGGGCCGGCGCCGGCGCGATCTGGCGAGCGGAGGGACCCGGAGGCTGCGGGAGAGCAAGGACTGGCGGGCGCCGGGGGCCCGGGAGCTCAGCTCGGAGGAGCGCGGGACCTTGGGCTGGGGCTGGGGCTGGGGGTGGGGGTAGGGGCAATGGGGAGGACACCCGCGCTGGGGAACCGAAGCAACGTGGTGGGGAGGGGGGCGCACCGAACAGTGGGGAGGGAGAGGGGCGTTCTTTCTGGGACCTGGCTCAGCCCCCCCTCTCTGGCTTTAAGCAGCGCTGCTCCGATAGACAGCGTTTTATAAGAAGGCACTGCTAGGTGCACCCGTCCCTCGACACCCCGACCCACCCACCCATTCCCAAGAAAGTGTGGATTCTTAAAACGGCGGTTTCCTCGTGAACAGGGCCTCAACTCGGCCCGGGCAGCACTGCGTTACGCGGGGGATCGCGGGGAGCGAGGACGGCGTGGGCGACGGCCTCGCCTTCCTCCTTTCTCGGCGGGTGGAGACTGGGGGGAAGCTGAGCTCCACCAGCGGCGGTCGGGCCTCGGCCTCCAGGGTCGTCGCTGGCCCAGGGCCAAGGGCTACGAGTTAGCTGGAAGCTGGCGTTCGGTACCAGAAGCACTTAGGGTCGCGTCCAATCTGGGTAAAGCCACACTGGTCCGAGAACTATTGCCGGTCCTCCCTGTCACTCCTATTGATTTGGGGGTTTGTGGTTTTCTAATAAATCTTTCTCTGTTCCCTTTTCAACAGTGCGAGCAAGCTTTATAGAAAGTCAGAATAGAACCACTTGTGGAATGGAATAATCTAAAACTGTCGACTCTGGGAGCGGGTTTTGTTTGTTTTTTGTTTTGGGGTTTTTTTGTTTTTGTTTTTGTTTTTGTTTTTTAGTTATTTTAAAATAGACTCTCCCCCCTTCCAGTTCTTTCCGTCACTAAGCACAAAGTGATTTGGTTTATTACCCGATGGGCGGCAGTCATTCTGATACCTGAGGGTTTGACAGAACTCAAAGGTATGCGCTGTGAATACAGTCTGGGTTATTTGGGACTTATGTTGGCTTGTGTAATTCTTTCTTTCTTGGGTGTGTAAATATAGGATCAATAATGAGGTAAGTGCGTGCTGCTAAGCTGTTTGCTCACGTGACTGCCAGCCCCTCCGGAGTCAAAGCCGGGTTCCCCCTCTATTGTTTTTTTCTTTGTTTGTTTCTGGTTTTTGTATTGTTTTGTTTTGTTTTGTTTTTTGCCACCTTTAACACAAATTACAAACTTTTCCACGTGCCTCCTGCGTCCTTGCAAACCGGCTCGGCGCGCCCAGCGTCACAGTCTGGGCTTCACAGCGCCTGCCACGTAACATCCTTCCTCTGACCGCTGTCCCTTGCAGAGAGTGTATCATCTGTTTTATTTTTGTAAAAAGAAAAAAAAAGTGCTAAATAATATTTATTACTTGTTTGGTTGCAAAAACGAAATAAATGGTCGAGTGTTGAGATTTTAAATAAAATGTAAAGTAAGTCGGGTGTTTTCTAACCGTTGGGGAGGGGGGCGGCCCAGCGAAGGGAGTGCAGGACTCTCCCGCGGAGCCGGGGCTGGGGAGCGTTCCGTTGGTTTCAAGCCCGGAGAAAGATGAGGGACGTGTTTGTTCTCCGTCGACCTCCCACCTCAACGAACACACGCTCTCTTTAAAACGTGTTCTGGGCATCTCTTCGGGGTGTTTCTCACAACTCTCTTGTTACTTTGATTTTCTGACGCCTAATCCGGAACTCGTTTTCCCTTCGGTTGAGGACGGAGTTAGTTGAAAGTGAAAATTTCTCTCCCCGCGCACGGAATTTGGGGCCAAGGGGGCGAGGACCACTCTTTCCGCTGGGGGTCACGCAGCTCAGGCCTTCACTTCTACCGGGATTTTTTTTTCCCCCTTTGGGCTCAAAGGCAGCCACCCACTCCCATCCAGTTCGGGTGACATCCTTAGGCTTCAGCTGCGGACCAGCCACTTGGAGCCCGCGGCCCGCCTCGCTGGTGCGCTTCGGGCAGAGCGCAGCGGGACTGTCGGGCGCGGGATCTGCTAACACGACCCTCCCCGGGGCGCCCACCCCGGTTGAACTTCAAAGTGTTAGGTGCTGGGAACTGCCATCCTGGAGGGACACTCTCCTAAACTACGCTCCCACCTCCGTGCCCCACCCTTCCCTGGTCCATCTCTCTTCTGGAGGTCACTGGGCTCCTCGCAATCCAAAACTGCAATGCACATTTAGGACTTGGATAAAATAATAATAATAATCAATAAAGAGATTCCGGGTAAAAAATAGAAAAGCTTCAGCCTTTCTGGTCAAGGAGGACAAACCATGTTGCAGTCTCTGGGCCTGCAGGGCTTAAAGGAGAACGAGCTCCCTTGAAAACTGTGACTGGCGCAGTTTTCAAGTTCCCCAGCCCTGATGGCTCTCTTTGATGGCTGAGGGTGGCTCCCTCCCCTAACTCAGGGACAGGTGCTTCTGGGTGCCCAGCAGGCGTGTGAAGCTGGGGGCCACAACAGCAGGTGGCTGGAGGTCGGGTGCAGTAGGCCTCCTTTCTGCTCTGCTTTTTACCAAAGGCCAGAGCTGGAGGAGGCAGAACTTCTGGGGAAGAGGAAGCAAGGGCACAGGGACCTGGGGCTCCCCACACGACTCCAAGAAGAGGGTAGGGCAGAATCTACTAGCTTTTATTTCGAAATCTTATTTGAAACGAAATCTGTTAAGAATTCAAAACTTGGTTGGGTTCCAGCGGCAGGCACCTACAGAAGACTGGCAGAGGCTGGAACTTGGGGTGGGAGCTTAGAACCCAGGGAACGGGGTTGGGGCTCCGTTGCAGTAGCAGCTTCCTTCACCCACTGTTAGCCTAGGCGGTGTGCACACAGGCTCTGAGTGTGCATGGTATATGCAGAGAGGGGGCATAAAAGGAAAGGAAAGAAATCAAGTCTGCCCCTCCCTACCCCCTCACACCCAAGCTCTCTGCCAGAGTCTAGCTGTGGCCAGGCTAGAGCTGGGCCTCTTAAGAAGGAGGAGCTGGATCCAGCCAGGATCCCAGCCCTTCCCAGAGTCCCGCGTCTAAACTGCGCACCCACCCCGGGATCTCGGACACCATGCGTGAGAATGGAGCATCCATGGCTCTCTCGGAGTCTCACACAGACACAGGGGAGCTTACGTACCAGGCAGGTGGCTCCTCTCGGGAGGGTGGCCCTGGACTGGCGGGGCCCCACGTGGGGGACTCAGGACTGCCACTGGGCTTCAGAGTAGAGCGGGAGAAGATGTCACACAGACTCTCAGACTTCCCAGGGTCCTTGATTGGGGGTGGCCCCCCAATAAGACAGAGGGAAAAGGAAAAGGAAAAGGAGGTAGAGTACCAGTCCAGGCCTGGCCCGGTCTGCAGGTCTGGGAGAACTAGTCCAGAGGTTTTCTCCTACACTGAGCTATAGCTCATCTTCCCCAACTGCTACATGGCCCCCCGGTATCCTGGGTCTCAGCCGCAGAGCCAGGGACTTCTGCCACAAGACCCCAAGGTCTCCAAGATTCTCCCCAACCCCCGTCCGTCCCCTCCAAGAGCTCAGCTTGAAGTTAAAGGGGAAAGCTTCCTCCAGAGCCTCTATGCTCCAGGGCCTTGTCCTCCGTCCTCTCTCCCTTACTGGTCAGGAGTCACAGAGAAATGATGACTGGACACAGGAAGAACTCATTGGGTGCTGCCCCATGCTTCTGGCACCCATAGAGTTGAAATTCCACGTTTCTGGGACAGTGAGCCCAAGGACCAAGCAAAACCTCGGACCTAATGTTCATCTCAGTCTGAGATGCAAGGCGTCACTCCGGATCGGGATGGCTATAGGAAGACCTAAGGAACGGGGACACCCATGACAGTCTAGGGTGGGGACAGCCCTGCATGTAGGACCTGTCTTCATTCCCAGACTGGAACCAATGAAGAACTCTGAGGCCAGTGCATTTGGATTTTAAAGCCCCCTGGACACTCTAGGTGCTGGAGAATTATCTGTCTGCTTCCCTTTAAGGCAGAATGGACCTAACAATTGGCCTAAAGTCCCTCTATTAAATAAACACCTTCATGCCCCCTAGAAGTTCATCTAAGACAAAGGATCCTCTGTATAAGCCCCATGTCTTATTTTAAGTCCCTTTTTCACCGCAGACTTTGGGCCAAGTTCCCAGTCTCCCCACACAGGTGCCTCACAGTACCAGGAGGGATTATAGGGGGGGGGGTCTTTGACAGGGACCCTACACCAAGGGTCTTAAGACCCTTGGCTGGTGACAGGTGCCCTCAGTCATTGTCTCTGAAAACCCATAAGGGAGGCCAGAATCAGGCTGGATGGTTCTTAGGATAAGTGGTTGCTGCATTGAATCCACCCCGGCTGGGGAGAAGAACCTTCCTAACAGCTAGAGACAGCATCCCTCTCCTTAGTTTGGAGGCTGGAGCAGCCCATAGGCTAAATCCCTGGGGCTCCCTGCCAGAGTGTGAGGGGCCACTCCAGGCAGGACTGAGATGAGGACCTAAGGGGACAGGGATGTGGGGAGCCAGAGCTCTGTGGATTCCTGGAGCTCACTTCCCTCTTCCCCATCTCTCTCTTCAGGGGCAGCGTCACTGCTATAGGCCTGCGAGGTTGGCCCAGGTTATGGGAGGACAGGGGCTCTGCAATGAGGAGCCTATGCAGCTGATCTGGGAGCAAGGAGGCAGCGGGGAGGCATCCCTGGGGAGTTGAGGATACTAATAATAGGCTGAGGAGGCTGGAAGAGGAGGTGCCAACAGGTATTCTAGGCTCCTCGGTATAGAGAGTGGTGGGGGAGAGCTTTAGTGTGTTGATTCATTCACTTCTCACCTTAGCCCTTTGAGGATGGCGCTGTTATTATTACATTTTACAGGCGAGGACACTGAGGCACCGAGAGGGTGAGTGAATGGCCCAGGGGCATAGCTGGTAAATGCAGGTGGCAAAGTTGTAATTCGAGAGTCGCTACAAAACCCACCTCTAGGATGTCGTCCCACC